AGCAAGAAAGTTGTATTTAATCTTCCTAATAAGGAGTCATTTACGAATTAATAAAATCACTTAGTGCTTATTCTTTGATGGTAAGTTTTCTTATTTGTCGAGTACCTTAACCTTATTATTTTCTTTAACTAGGCAAACCCAAGAAAGATAATTGTATTCAAGAGATTCCGATAGTTCGAGACTTTCCAGATGTGTTTCTGGATGAACTACTCGGACTGCTAGTGGACAGGGAAGTCGAGTTCACCATAGATCTACAGCCAGGCACCCAACCTATTTCGGTTGCTCCTTACCGCATGAGCTGCGTTGAGATGGAGGAGCTAAGGAAACATATCATTGAATGGAGGAGCCACATGGGTGATCCGCGTGCGCGAAATCGAATGGCTGAGATCTGTTCCCGCGCGGACGGACTACCCAGATCAAAACCGTGCACGGACGGCCCAGATTGAATCGCGCACGGACAGCCCAGATTGAATCGCGATGAACGGCCCATATTCATTCCCTATTTAATCGCGATCGGACAGTCCAGATTAAAAGCGATGAATGACTCAAATAAAAAACGGATGGGTATAAATAACCTCATCCGCACCCAAATCCTAACCCTAGCCGCCAGAGTCCCTTGCCGGAGACGACAGCCCAGCTGCCAAGGAGCCGACTGCCGCCACCCGCTGCCATACCAGAGCAATTTTCGGCCGCCAAACGAGTTAAAAATTCTACTATTTGCTCAGAATTTGATTCTAAACCCACATATGGCTAAATCGGGGCGAAAGCACCGGCATGTATCACTGCTTACCTCACTACTGTGTGATTTTGGGAATTTAAGATATGCTTACCTTGTTGGATGTACGTTATTTATTTATGTGGACAAATAGGAATAGGATGAGATTTGATAAATGAATAAGATGACAGCCTCACTATATATACTGGGAAATGGTGGACGGACCGGGTTCATAAGGAACCCTACCGTGAACGTTGTCTCATACCAGACGGGGTATGGAGACTTGGTCATTTAGTGCTCATACCGGACGGGGTACGGGGTATTGAGGTTTATTGTTTTGGTGTTTATACCGAATGAGGTATAGGGACGGCCCTGGAATTAAGATTGTTAAGAAGAATGATTCACGCGTAGCGGGGACCCCTATGAATTCCCATGGATACTAGTAGGCTGGTAAAAAACGAAAAACGGTGATAATCAGTTATTGTTAATGGAAACGGGTTTATGATGTGTTTTATGTTACTGATTAAACATTAAATTGTGATCTGTATGATGTTATTGTTTTTATAAGTTGTTTTTACAGGTTCTTCAAGGGTAAGAAAAATGGTAAGAAATTTTATATTAAATAATTGTATTGGTTTAAAATTTGTGTTTCATTGGTTGTTTTTGGTTTTCTACCAATCTTTACTTTTGTGACGGTGATATAGTGTGATGTACTTACTGGACTAGTATAGTTCATTCTTTATTTAATTATTTCATATCAGAAGGACATAGTTTCCGAGCCCGATCCACAAAAAGACGGCGAGTAGATGTTAGATACTTTACAGTTTCTTTTATTTTTCTCATTTCTCGTATATCTTTTAGAGAACTTATTCTGTGATATTGTTTAGTACTTTTAAGTTATTGTATAAGAAATGTTAATTTTAATATTTTATTTCGCTTCCACACTCAAATTATTATATGTATTTCTTTTTGAATTTTCGGGGCCGTTATAATTTTAGAGTGCTTTGAGACCTCTGTAATGGGAAGCTGGGAGGTATTGACATTAATACTCACAAGGTGATCTGAATGTATAAGGGAAATTTTTTTTTTTGGATAAAAATATATAAGGGAACTTGTTGATTAACTGATTGTTACGCTTCTCTTGCTTTTTACCCTGTACGAACAAAGAAAAGGATTCTGGTGCGGATTTGATTTATGTACCAATAAATTGCTTAGTATTCTAATTACTAATTGCTCATGCTTTATGCTTATGATTTTTATTATTAAATGCATTTTTCGTTTTCATGTATTTACCTACAATTGAAAAAAGTCTCTTTGTGTGCATGTTTTGTTCGAACTTACAGGGAAACTTTCTTACATGATAGATAAACATTGATAACTATATATAATGTAGGTAGAAATGAATCAATGGGGCTTTGGCGGTGGAGCAAGTGAAGTGAATAACGAACTGGCAAATAGCTCGTTGGCAAGCACTTCATTTGCTGCATCAGAAGGGTGGAAGGCATCCCAAAACACATAATACCTACGATCTCTGCATAGTTTCGAGTTTGGCAAACACAATCCCCCGATGCTCGTGTCCACATTGCAGCATGATGTATTTGAAATCTTGAAGCCTGCAAACATGAAATCAATAACCCATTGATGGTTTTATAACTCATCATGATAGAATACAGAGAGAAATAGATTATGGTTTGACCATATGCTGTGGGATTGTTGATTAGATCAAAGACTGCTGGATAGGAATCTGCAAATTTGAGATTTGCACCGGAAAGTTTCTTGTTCAGATTGGCAATGATAGTCTGCACTTTGGAGTTAAATTGGCGTACCCATTCATTCACTTGCGTCAAACACTGACCTTTCCTTGATTTCACCCTCTGAGAAGGAATGCAACCCAATGGTCCTAACCCGTGAAACAATACTTTCCGAGCTCCAAGTTCGTAGAGTCTCTAGTGTAATACACAATCAACAAGTTAATCCTGGTAAAACCCATTTCTCTATTTGAAGACAATTCTGGAAAAACAAAGGTATTTTAGTATACACTGAAATTTTGTTCTGTGGATTCAAATTCAAAATTTTCAATTAGTTAGAAGGCATTCTTTGTCTTTGTACTAGATTATGAACTCTCCTAGAGAAAGACAAGACAACAAGACATGCACCATGAGTTGGTTGTCTAAGGTGGATGTTAAGAGTTCCACAAATTCTTCATGTGTGTACTGCTGGCCATCGGCCAAAAATGGCTGCAAGAAATTGTTGACATAGTCATTGCTGCCTGCAAATAAATCATCCGTTAAATATACAAAACGTGCCAAATAAATGTTTGAAGAGAATGAAAAAGGAAGCAAAACTTGCCAATTCCAATGAAATAGAGAGCTTCGTTGAGATGCTTATTTGCAGCATCTTCTCCGATTTTGGCCTCAATTGCCTCCTTAGTCTTCTTAAAATAGTTTATCTGATCATCAAATGATAATCTTTGAATCTGCATCTCACACCCATTAGAGATATCACTACATTAAACAAAAAGAACAGAGAAAAAGAAGAACAAAGTGATACTCTCTGTAAGTATTAGAATGAGAGATTACAAAATATAGTCCAGTTTCATTGAGAATCCCTGCTCCACCAGAAGCATAATTAACACCTTGGAGCAGTTTATCAACATTGTTTGGCACTGATAAATATGGTGGTGGTGATGGAATCCCAAGCTTTGCAGCTACCAAACAAAAAAAAAAAAATGGTGTTATACAAAACCTCAAATTTCATATCCATCAATTAATACCCTTGAAAAAAAATCACACCCAAATCCGTATATTCACATCCCACTTCAATTCAACGTATCTTACTTCGAAAATTCTATGAATGTAATGAAATATGATATAAGATTATATTATATAGACTCGTATATGATACTGCAAAACTAAGTGGGAAAGAGTAAACTAGTACATATTATGTCACCAATAGTCCTGCCATTGGTGAATCTGCCAGTAGCCTGTCCACCAGAAAAATCAACGCCATACCATGGATAGTCTGACCTAGCCAAAGAATACTGAAGGTAATTATTGTTTCCAACTTCTGTCAATGAGTCACCAAACACGTAAGTGACTATTGATGCAGCCGAAGCCAAGGCTCCCATGGCGGACGCCACCGCCAAACCCACCCATATCCTTACACCCACCGTCATCTTCTTCTTCTTCTTCTTCTCTGCTTGCTTCCGAGTGTCAAAATTTAAGTAGTTGCAGAAGGTAGTGCGAGAAAGGATTTATAAGCTAATAACGTGGTGATGGTTATTTCTCCAAGTTTGGACATATTAGGTGACTAATTTGGTAACCATAGAAGATTTTTACTTACTTTTGTTTGATTTCTCCCGGTTGGTAATTGCGATTTTGCAATTTTTAGAAGTTTAGTGTTCTCCGGAGTTGGCCAACTCATGACCTCACTCAGCCATGTCAGTTTTTGTTAGGTCTTTTCTTCTTCTTCTTCTTCTTCTTCTTCTTCTTCTTCTTCTTCTTGAGGCTGCTATCGGGTGTTTTTCTACATTATTATACCTGCGAATAATTCCATCATCCCACATGTCTTTATATATATATATATATATATACACCACTATGTTATATTGCCAGATTTCAAGTGGGTTGGCATGTGACAAGAATGCAAATGGACAATGAGGTGTATATATATATATACATACATACATACATACATTTATACATTTATATATTGGCGGGACTCTCAACATTTCTGGAATTGGCTTTTATTCTCTCCTTTTCTTTTTAATTTTCTCTTGTCGTGGCGAGCTGGACTGCTACCTCACCATGCAAGATCCTTATTCCTTATAAAACTCTAAAGAAGGTTGTTGAAAGTATTAAAAATTAAAAATTAAATTATAACAAATATTAAACATATGAAATTAATTTAATAATTCATTAATTACTGTAAAATTTAACACGGTATATATCATTATTAGAGTAATTGTTACTGTTATACATATATATATATATATATATATATATATCCACGATATACAATATATGGATGTATAGAATTATGTTTTACTATAATTTGACCAAGATCAATCAGAATCTTAAATATTATATATATATATATAAACACACATATAATTATTTGAGATTTACTTATAATAACTATAATTAAATATTATTATTTTTAAATAGTAACGTAGCTCGTGCATAGCAATTTCCAGTCACGAGGATTTTTCTTAATTTTAATTTTATAATAAATATTATAAAATAATAAAACATAAAAATAAATTTATTTCTTATATACTCGATGGAACTCTCTTGATTCGACGTCAAAATTGACGTCACAATTCCATTTCGTGTCTTCCAGATGGTCGCCACGCGGCGCCGTCTTCTTGGGCAGATCAACACCGAAGCGTCGGCCTTTTTACCCAAAAAGAAAAAATAAAGTCCAATTTGTATTCCTTGTAGTTTTATTTTATTTTTTTTAAAAAAAAACAAGTTTTAATAATTTATTATGAATATAATTTTTTTAATACAAGAAAAAAAAAATATATATATATATAGATTGAGAATTTTTAAGTTAAATAAGAATAAAATATTTAATATTATATTCAATTTATTTAAAATAAAAAAAATATTGTTTGATTCAAAAATTATTTTCTCTTTAGACTTTTTATTTAATCCAAAACTAAAATATCAAATTAGACACTAATATCTTTTTTTCAATTATAAATACATATAGTTTTTAAACTTATCTTTCAAACCCGTCAAAAATTTCTTAATTTTTTAAATAATAATATAAAATTATATTCGATAAATAAAAAATTATAGAAAACTTATTATAAATACTATCATTTTCAATCTGTATATCATTTCAAATATTAATTCAAACTTTATCACCAATACGTAATGTAAAGCAATCTCGGTTGTTGAATCTTGATTTATAACGTTTCAATTTATTTCTAATAGAATTCATAACTTTTTTACCGTAAAATTACTAAATCTCTTTCCTATCATTACTAACTTAATCTTTGATAAAATTTTATTTGTTGGAATATTTTTGTAGGTTACTTATGGAGAGAAATATTATGCTACAACATATATAATATATATATATTGATAGATCTGAGAGTAAATTATGTTTTGCCCATAAATTTTGTTGTATTATATAAAATTTGTAATTTTTAAAAAAAATAGACTACAAAAATATCATAAAATTATTATATACTTTATTTAATCATTATCTACTTTGTTAAAAATTCAAATTTATTCGCTCACTCTTATAACATGAATAATTAATATTTAATAAAACAAATATTTATCACTTAATTTACATAAAAAAAAAATTGACAATTTATAATAAATAGAAAGACTTATGAATAATATATAACTTCTATATAATTTATTTAAATTTTAATGGGAAAAATAATTTTAATTAATTTTCACATAAATAAATTCCCTCATAATAATTTTTAAAAATTCGTTAAATATATAAAAATTCTATTGAGTATCAACAGTTGCAGCTCGGCAAACACCAGAGTCAAACGCCTGTTGCTTTCTGTTTGGTTCAATGGAAAATACTCTTTGATTCTACATTCCTGTCCGATCTCTTAAGACAAGCACCTCGAAAATCTTTATATATAATATTTATTTATCTTTGCATATACATGTATATTATATGCACAGCTTTCGCCGTTGACACCCTCTTTTCTGTCTTTTATACTCTCTTTTTCTTCACTTCCCACACGATCCTCCCTCTAATCTCCACCTTTAACTCCTTCCTTTCTCTCTAAACCAAACCAGCACAAATAACCCATCTCCATTTTCTCTCCCAATCGCCATTCTTTCGATTCTTATCGCTCTCTTTGCTATCTCTTGTTATGCCTTCATTTTCACTTGTATAGATAGATTTTATATATATATATATATATATGTGTGTGTGTGTGTGTGTGATATATAAATATATCTGCTCATCAGCATTCAATTCTCCAATATCGGTTACTGGAACTGTAGATTACAATTTCTTAAATGTCATTTGCGTGCGGACTTGAATACGTGGTGCTACTGGGTTGCTCGCGGTGGGCTTGGAAGCGCTGCACTTATATCGGCTCCGACGACAGCGATTCATGGCCGCTCGCCACCCCCGACGAGTTCGAACCCGTTCCCAGAATCTGCCGCTCTATTCTTGCAATCTATGAATCGGACCTCCACAACCCGCAGTTCGCTCCTCCCGGCGGCTACGGGCTCAATCCGGATTGGGTCCTCAAGCGGGTAACCTACGAGCAAACCTGCGGCCACGCGCCGCCTTACCTCATCTACGCCGACCACGAGCACCGTGAAATCGTCCTCGCAATCCGAGGACTCAATCTTGTGAAAGAGAGTGACTATAAATTGTTGCTAGACAACCGCCTGGGCCGTCAGATGTTCGATGGAGGGTATGTTCACCATGGGTTGCTGAAGTCGGCGGTATGGTTGCTGAACGAGGAGTCGGAGACGTTGAAGCGGGTTTGGGAGGAGACTGGGAGGGAATACTCGATGGTTTTCGCCGGCCACTCGCTTGGTTCGGGGGTAGCTTCGCTTTTGACTGTGATAGTCGTTAATCATAGGAACCGGCTTGGTGGGATTGCCAGGAACAAGATTAGGTGTTACGCAGTGGCGCCCGCCAGGTGTATGTCTCTGAATTTGGCCGTCAAATACGCCGATGTCATTCACTCTGTAATTTTGCAGGTGATGTTCGTTTTTCCCTTTTCTGGAGCGATTTGATTTGTTGTTCCCTGAACTGCGTTTGTGATTTATGGAGTAGCTTGTTTCTGGATCTTCCAAATGAAGTTCTGAGGTAGATATACAGTGAACTTGCTTTGCATTCCCGGGGAAGATGATTAGATCCTAGTTGTCAAGACGAGGATTAAGAGGATTATGAAGTAGTCTACTCTGTTTTTTTCTTTCATCGTACATGATTTTCTTTATATTTGTTGTTGCATTGGTTTCTTAAGATCAATCTTGTCTTATACAGGATGATTTCTTACCAAGAACGCCGACTCCATTAGAAGATATTTTCAAGTCAATCTTCTGGTTGGTATTCTTTCTTTCCATTTCAGATGCTACATTAGGTTTTGCCAGGATATTTTTTGAACAAATTCAAAACTTTTATGGAATCCATCCACAAAAATTCACCTAGTCCACTTAGAATAGATATTAAAAGTACCCTCTGAAATAATAAAAATTGACCTTGTATGGAGCTCCACATGGAATAAGATATCATATTTTTTAAATTCGATCGTCAATTTATGGGTGGTCAGCTTTTATCTTCTACTAAAACAAATAAGTTTTTCAGAGTTTTTGACTTGTTCCAAACATAATCTTAATGGTTTATTCCTCTCCATTGCAGTTTTTAGTGGAGTGAATTACTATTATTATCTCTTAAACCAGGCCTTGATGCTTTGGACAGCTTGCCTTGCTTGCTATTTTTGGTTTGCTTGAGGGACACCTTTATACCAGAAGGGAGAAAGTTAAGAGATCCAAGAAGACTTTACGCACCAGGACGCATGTATCATATTGTAGAGAGAAAATTTTGCAGGTAGCAACTCAATCAAAGTCCTCTGCATTCACTTTTTCTTTTTTTTTCTTTTCTTAATCCTCTAGTATCTTTTCTATTTCCCTGTAATATGTGTGGTGACTGGTAGGGGTTAGACTAGTGAGGCTCAGAAAGAAAATGTTAAAAGAACAGAAATTTTCCTGTTTGTTTTTCCTAATCAAATGGAGCTGGGAATCACTCATTCCATCTGCACTTAGTGTTTCTGAGTTTAGTTCGATAACTCGTTGTCTTAGTTGTAAAGTTATTATGCTTTTATTCAGCCGTTTTCTTGAGCTTTTGCTACTGACCTCACTTTTCTCTGCCATCTGTTGTCTGAACTTACTACAGTACAAAAATCACGTAAGGTGTTCGCTAAAAAATTAGATCATTTGTTCATAGTTGTTCTTCATTTCACTTCTTTTTTTTTTGTTATTGTTTAATTATCCATACTCATTCCAGGATTCACCTTTTGCTTGATCTCTATGCACAGATGTGGAAGATTTCCTCCAGAGGTTCGAACTGCTATTCCTGTTGATGGGAGGTTTGAACATATCGTGTTATCATGTAACGCCACATCAGATCACGGAATAATTTGGATACTAAGGGAATCAGAGAAGGCTTTACAAGTGAGCACTTTTCTTTCTCTTCCAGCTTCATTTTGTGTTCATCTCTGCCCTTTTTTATACTCCAGAAAGCTGGTAAAATATAAATAGAGGGAGGAATAGTGCAATGGTGAACTATTGAATTTATTAAATGATATAAATGTAAAAATAAAATCAAACAAAAGATCTGTTCTTTTGGGAATGTTTATGCTCATATTTCTCATTTAACATTTTACTTACCTAGCAAAGCTGATGAAGAAAATACAAGTTGGCAAGATCTCTTGATGCATAATACATATGTTTTCTTCATTTGTCAAGCATTTTGAGCTCCTTCTCACAAAACTCGTTGCTGATTCATTTTAAACACAGACAGAAAACAAAATACTTATATGTTAATCTGTAGTAGTTTGATTAATTCTGCTTCGAGGCTAAAATTGTGTCGAACATATATTACAATATGTTTGGATTGATGAAAATGGGGGAAAGGGAAGGAAGGAAGGAAAAGGATGCTCCCCCTTTTACTTATTTAGATGAAAAATAATAAGGAAAAAAAGAAATAGTGAGTAAAATGAAAGGAATAGGAAGCGATTTAAAAATTGACTGAGGATTTTCTATTTTATCTATATTATCTAACATGCCATTATCTTAATAAAAAGTGTTATTGACTATTTTCTGATAGCTAATAATCAAATGACACTACTTCTGTTTTCACTTTCAGAGAATGAGGGAAATCAGTTCCGAGACCGTGACAACGCCTCCCAAAGTACAAAAACTGGAGAGGTTGCAGACCATCGAAAAAGAACACAAAGATGCATTGGAGAGAGCCGTGAGTTTGAATATTCCTCATGCTGTTGGCGCTATGGAGGGGGAGCAGCCATCAGGAGACAAAGAAGCAGAGCCTTCTCATAGTGAGAATAAAGAACCTTCTCAAAACGAGAACGAAGGTGCTTCACAATCCAAGTCAACATCAAAAAGTAGTCGGACAAATTGGGATGAAGTTGTCGAGAAGCTTTTCCAGAGGACGGAATCAGGAAACCTAGTTCTAAAGGAAATCACAGATGCCCCAAGATGACAACATTTTTCTTGATTTATTATCAAATCAAGTTTGGTTTTTAGAATTTGGTTCTTATCCTTCCCCTTCGATCAAATTATGATATCATTTATCGAAATTAAGGTACGACCTTGATTTCAATCCGAGTGTTACATCTTTTAGATTAAATCCCAGCTGTGCAATTTACTGGTTAAGAAAAATCTTACCCCCTACTTAGGGTTCTTAAAATTTGATATATTGTGTGATGTTTCGGCCATGTGTGCTTTTTTCTTGGGAGTAGTTTCTTCAATTTCAGAGCAACCATTTTTTCGGATCGATTTATAAATTTCATATTGATTGAATTATTTTCACTTTGTTTATCATTTTATAAGTTTCTGTAATTCCCAACACATTTTTTATGATTGAATCATTTTCACTTTTATGATGCTTTTCAGTTTCATTCTCTCTAACTCTGCTTTCTTCTTCCTCAATCTCTGCACAGCAATCACAGGCAACTCGGGTAATAATTATTTTTGGTATAACACATAAATGACCATTATGGCTGGGTAATGAACATGGTTGGGGTGAAAAAGGGAAAAGAAAAAGTAATGCAGTAATAATTTAAGGAGCCTCTCTTTCTTTTTTCCCATATAAAAATTAGGGGAGCTGCCAACTGCAAACTAATGTAACTTTTATATATTATAAAATTATTTTCCAAGAAATATGCATTCCATTCTTCCAAACAACTCACAACCCCTACTAAACACGTTTTAGAGGAAAAGAGTCTGTTGGACCTATTTTCATTATTCACTACAGAGTTGTCATTTGCAGGCAAAAAGTCTTGCCTTCTACATTAGGTTACAACAGAAAGCTGTCAGCCCTTGAAAAAAGAAAGTTTGGTATATTAGATAACTTTCAACTCTTAAAAAACTGATAAGCTTTTTGTAAAAATTAACATTTTTAAAGGATTTTGCGAGGTATCTATATTTCTAGACCATAGGGGTTTTCTATCTTCCTTGAAAATAAACTGATCTGGTCCAGACCAAAGGTTAAAAAAGCCTAATGAGTTCTCAGCTTCAGGCCACACTGTAGAGTAACAGAGTCTAGAAACTAGCAAAGTTACCACTCAGCATTGCGCATGGGGCAGCCGCAGAAAAAGAGATCAATCTGAATCGTCAAAAAGTGACAAGACTTCAAGCCAAATCTTTTGGAAAATATGACCATGATAAATAATGAACAAATTTAAGATCAGAAATCCAAGCTCCCAAAAATAGTAGACAGCTTCATTTAATTTTACACTAAATCTCTATACCTAACTACGCAAGTGGACATGAGAGTGGATCATCGTTAAAATTTGACTATCCTTTTTGCACGCAACAACTGCTAAAATTACCAGATACCAGCCTTTACCAAGAAAACAACAACTAATACTAGCAAGCTTCTGTTCACAAGGCCTTCAAACTTAGGAAGTGTTCATGGCTTCAGCATGATAGTTTTCGAGTTCCTTATCAAGCTCATCTGCTGACTTCTCAACAGGTTTCTTCTTTCCAAGGGCCCGGAAACGGCCCCGACCCCGGCCCCGACCCTGGCCACGGCCCCCTGCACGCCCACGGACATCTCTCACACCTCCACGACGGTTCTGACTGTAACAAGAGAAAACAAGAAAAAGGAAATTGTACCGCTTTCAGGCAAATGACCAAAGATCTATCTCCAAGTTAATCTTAAAACACAATTCAGAGAAATTTTTTTATGGATCTTCGCAGACAATAAGGTACACCAAAGAGACTGTTAAATTAGTAAATTAGTTGCAATATCTGTAGATGGAAAACATACCCAGGACCCCGAGCAATTGGAACACGGCCTCTTCCTTGGCGCATTCCTGGCCTGCACAACTACCAAATATCAGAACAACGCCTGCAAAGGTCTAAAGAAATATTCAATAGAACCTATTCCACGTGGCAGCAATTCAGTATTCTTCAGTATAACAAACAATACTACAACTTCTAAATAACACAAAGCCCTATAAATCCCCTTCACCCTCAATTTCTTCGAAATTGATATTAGATCATCACTTAGCAGTACCAATGATATTCAGGAAGCACGGAAGAGACAAGTTAACATGTGATGAAACAACTGAGGATGGTCTTGGTAGTACATGCTGAAATGGAACCACAAGAGTTGACATGTTAAAAAATTCATTGGCACAATCATTAAGTAAGAATCCATCCAACCCCAGAAAAGGAGACACAATTTCTTCTAGATTGTTTTCATGACTATAAGACATGTCAATAAGGAAGACTGAAGCCAAATTCTCGAACTCCACTGCAAGACTAGTGATCACTTGAGCTGATGCTCTGGTTCACCTCTAGATTGGTCTTGGACATCATTTAGCAGACACTGTCAAAGAGGAAATATGGAAGAAACAAGTCGACATATGAAGAATCACTGTCAACAACTAGATAAACCAATCACCCAACCCCAGGCAGACATTTATTTAAATTTGCATACAATAGCATTTAGAATTACTATTGGTAAGGAGGAAATGCGGAAGACAAGTTAGTATGTCACAAAACAAAGCAGTAATCAACCCTGGACAAAGTTCTCAGCAGAATATGATAAAACTAAATCACGTACATAACAACTGTCCTCTTCTTCCTCCCGTTCATCCCAGTCACATTGACATGAGCAGAAACAGGCACATCTGAATTGGCACCCACAATTTCAATCTTCATTGGCTTCCCATCCAACAGCACGTTATTATACCGCTTGAGAGCTAAAAATGCATCACTTCTTCTCAGATAAACTACTTCAGCAGAGCCCTGTAACCGAGTAAAGACCAATGTTTAACAAAAAGCAAAATCTTAACTAAAACAATCATATATTCAGATATAAATGAGTGCTGCAGATTTGCTCCACACCCAATTCAGGTGGTTAAATTGAGAACTAGTCCATCCACCAAAACATTTATTATGATGGGAAAAAAACAAAATTTAGAACAGAACGATGAAGGAACTAGTGCAACTTACACTTGGGCGGCCATTTTTGTCGTAATGAACAGCATATCTTTTAAGTTCTCCAATCTCAGCAAAGAGTTCCTAAGTTGAATGTATGTAAAATTGCGATGAATTTCAGAAAATCCATTTTTCTCTTATCAAGAACGAAAGTAAAACTTCACAAATTATTTACAAACAGCTGGCAAGGGAGAGAGAATATAGATCAATGGTACCCTTATATCTTCATTTGTCACTCCACGATCCAAGTTGGAAACATATAGTTTTGTGCCAACTTCTACCCCTGAAATCCCTGCTGCCCTAAGACTGTCTTCAAACAAGTCATGTTGCCATGGCAAGCCTCTAGGTCGACGAGGATACTAATGAAAAGCAATAACAAATGTCAGAAAAATAGCATTCGGTTCTTCAATATGAAGCATTGATCAACTACATTCCCATAAGAACAAAAACAGAAAGATGAAACTCCTGATAGAAGAGAGCAATCAAGTAAACTCTTTTTTTAGGAACTAGTAAACTCTCCAGCAAACCTGAAAGAACCAAAACCAGCCTAGTAAAATCTTCAGCAAACCCAGTAATCAAACATCAGCAACTTGAGACACTGAATGGCACATCAGAGAGCAAAGGATTTGACCCACTGCATATGAAATGATGCTATGCTTAAACATCAGAAGTACATTTCTGAACTCAAGCGAAGGAAGCTCCCTTTGCATGAAGGCCATAAACAATTATTGACACTGAATTCCTGCTCCAAAGAAACTCCACAATAGCAAGTGGATCCATCAAAACGTCCATTTTGTCAACCAGCAACCAGACACTAATCCTTGCAACTAGGGAACATGGATGAAGTGCAGAATGTTGACAATGCAAAGTCAAGTAATTTTTTGGGGATATTATGCTAGTGGTAAGAGCTCCATTTCAAAAGGATACATAGAAGATCCATTAAAAATTCCCCCTCAAGGCATCTAGCCATCATGCAATAAGCAATTGCAACTACAAATAGATTATTTGTGGAAACCAAGGAAGCAACATCACATAGGGAAGAGGATCCGTCGTAAAACTCCTCATCTAGCAAGCCAGCAACCAGCAGCCAGCCATCGGAAATTAAATCCATTGGAGCTACAAACTATGGTCATGCATGTAAACCAAAAAATGAATATCACTAACTAATGCTGTCAGGCTTCCAGAAAAAGATCACTTCAGAAGCCAACTTACTGAAGCTCCTCTGTACAAAATTCTAAGAGGTAGCACTGTAAGGCAGCATCAGGAAATCCAAATACATCTATTGTATCTGTAATGAAGCCCCGGAGGTGTACCAAAGTAAACTCACAGCTATGCAAAAATTGTGGAGAAAAAGATCTAAAGAGCACAGGAAGTGAGAAATCTTTT